GATTGAAGAAAGGCAGACTGAAAGGACTGTCAGTGGAGGTCCTGGATGCGCCCTGCTGTATTATAAGGAGCACTCAGCTAGAAGTGCGAATGCCCGGCTTTGAGCTGGCTTCCACCACTGCTTTTTCTGCTCTTCTGTGTGACCTTGACCAAGTCACTCAACATCTCTGGGTCTCAACTTCCTTATCTGATAAATGATGGGCACAGACTGGTTAACCTCATCAACTCTTCTGCTCTATTCTATTTCTTTGCTCCACTAGATGAAAAGTTCTTCCCAAGCTGGTTATGACATTTATTTAAGGACACAACGTGAAAAGAAAGCTCCCACTCAGCTTAGGTGGCAGCTGGCTTCCCGGTGAGTGATCGGGGAGCTGATCTCTGGGTGCACTTTGTCAAACCCCTGCTTTTCTCTGCATCAACAGCCTAATGCAGTTTAGACCTGATTGCTTGGCTTCATAGGGACTTCCTGGACATGGGGAGCTGGACCTTGCTCCCAGAGGGATGAACTGCAGAAGGCTTTTTAAAAAGGTCTCCAAAATCAAACCAATTTCGATATCAAGGAGAGGGTAGATTCTGTTAAGGGAAACTCTGTGCAGTGTAGTCACCTTCAGAAATTGTCCCAGAAATCCCTAATACAGTCTCTGGGGAGTTTTAAAATTGAACACACACAGCGTAGAAAACAGGTCCTCCCATACCTTAGGGAGAGGGGAGATGGTAAATTGGGCCCACATGATTAGATGGTAACCTTGTCGTATCCAAACTTAAAATGTGCAGTCCCGAGAGTTCCCTGGTGGCCTGTGGTTAGAATTACAGGCCTTCTCTGCCGTGGCCTGGGTTCAGTCCCTGGTCAGGGAACTGAGATCCCACAAGCTGTGTGGCCCAGCCAAAAACAAAAACAAACCAAAAAAATGTGCATACCTAACAATCTCAGTCTAGGGACTTAGGCTATGGGAATGCTCATAGAGGTGGGCAAAGATAAACACAAAGATTTTATTGCAGCTATTTGTGATAGTGCAAAGTTGTCAAGATTTATCTAACTGTTGCCAATTGGTTAAATAAATTATGGTAACCATATCAGGAATATACTGCAGTCACTACAAAGAATAAGGGAATATAATGCAGTCACTACAAAGAATAAATGGTGTTATATTTAGCACGGAATCTGGTGGCAGAAAGGCTCTGCGTTCGTGCTGACTAGAACTTACAGCTCTGCGCCCTTGGTCAGGTCAGAATCTCTGAGCCTCTTTGTGAAGGGTAAGGTGGGGATAATGCCTCACCTCATTCGACATCCATTGCCCCACTAGGTGAGGGGCACTATGCTGGACACGGTGTTAATTCAGAGACACAGTTCTGCCCTCAGTCTAGCCAGGCACAGGCAATGAAAGGAGCACATCCAAACAGGGTGCTAAGCGTCAAAAGCAGAGTGTTCCCCTACCCTACCCCAACATTGTCCTAGCTCAGGCAGAGATGATTTACATAACACACTCAGAAAAGCAAAGGATGGAGGAGATTATTCTGCCTCTGCCATACACACTGGCTGTGTGACCTTGAACAAGTTCCTCAGTTTCTTCATCTGTAAAATGGGGATAATAGAAGTACCTACCTTGTAGAGTTGTTGTGAGGATTAAATGAATTGATACTTGTAAAGGGTTTACTTAGGACAGGACCTAGTCTATGGGAGGCACTATATAAAAGTCTTTCAAGTGCACAATAAGTCCCTAATGTGCCATCAATACTATAACTACTTTAAAATCAGGAAAAAGAGGGACTTCCCTAGCGTTCCAGTGCTTAAGACTCCGCGCTTCCACTGCAGGGGGCACAGGTTCAATCCCTGGTTGGGGAACTGAGATCCCGCATGCCTCATGGTGTGGCAAAAAAAAAAAAAAAAAATCAGGAAAAAGAAACCCCATACATGTCAGTGTTTTAATTTTGATTGACTCAGAGATAGTTAAAACATACAGTCGAATGTGGAAGGCCATGTCCCAGGACCTCTAGAATGAATGGAGTCTCCGAGACTATAGTCTGGTTTCTGGGCTAACTAGGAGGTGGGGGAGAGTGAGAGAAGTGTTTTCCAGGAGAGCTGAGGGGAAAGGACATCCGTGTACCTGTGGGGTCCTTTGCGCCAAGGTAAAGTAGGTGTTTGAGGTGCTGTCCACTTGCAGGTAAGCTAAGGGCTGCCTGACCCTGATTTCCAGGCTGCGTATTTGAGGGACTGTGTTGGGAGACTTATCACTTCTCCTGTCTTCTCTGCCAGGGCATGGCTCCCCGAGGGTGTGTTTGAGTGCCTAGGAGGTGAGTAGGTGGGGGAGCCTGGGAGCCACCCCTGATTGACATCTTAATTTCTGGCGCAAAGGTATTCAGGCCCTGCCTGAGCAAGCTGCTGTCACCCTTTCCCAGCTCGACTCCTTTCATGCCTTCTTGCCTTCCATTTGCATTTCCTGAGCATGTTTCATCTGCCATGGGCCCCCATGCTGCTGGGGAGTGATGCAGGGCTGAACAGGTGGGGGCGGAAGCTGACTTATCTAGAGTTATTAGAAGCCTTGGACTGGAGCAAGCAGACTGTATTCAAATCCTGTCTGTCATTCCCTCAGCTGTGTGATCTTAGGCAAGTCACTTAACCTCTCTGGGCTTGTTACTCATCTATGAAATGGGGATGATTCTTTCTACGTCATTGGTCTTTGACTGGTTTAATGAGATGATGGGTAGGAAAATAAGTTCTAAGCTTTAAAATGTTGGGTGCCTATGAGAGCTGCTTTTTACTGAAGAGATTTACTTTGCTTGGTGAATGTCTCTCTCAGAAGCCTGGGCACTGTAACTTCTACATGTCCCCAATAACCTGAAATGGCTCAGTGTCTTTAATTTTTTAAATGTAGCATTGACTAAAATCAATAACAACTAGCAGCATTTGTTCTGAATTTTTAAATCTGCTGCCTGACATTTTTTTTTTTTTTGCGGTACGCGGGCCTCTCACTGCTGTGGCCTCTCCTGTTGCGGAGCACAGGCTCTGGACACGCAGGCTCAGCGGCCACGGCTCACGGGCCCAGCCGCTCCGTGGCATGTGGGATCTTCCCGGACCGGGGCACGAACCCGTGTCCCCTGCATCGGCAGGCGGACTCTCAACCACTGTGCCACCAGGGAAGCCCGCTGCCTGACATTTTTACTGAATTATCTCAGCTGTAGTTCCCAACAGCCTAGGCCATAGAGAAAACAGGAAGGGCTTTGGCTTCATCCCAGCTCTGCTACTGTATTAGTCAGCTATTGCAGTAATAACCCCCAAACCTGATGGTTTATGACAGCAAATGCTCACAGGTAGCTGCAGCTCTGCAGATATGGGCTGGCCTCAGCTGGTGAGCTCTGCTTCAGGCAGTGGGCCAGCTGGCCTTGGTTCGAGGCCACAAGCTGGGCTCAAGTCTGTTCTGCTTTCATTCTAAGGTCCAGATGAAAAGGGCAGCAACTACCTGGGGCCTGCTCTTTTCGTGATGAACACTGAGGCACCCACATGGTACGTTTAAAGCCTCTACTCCCATCACATCCTTCCACTAACAGTCCACTGGCGCAAGCTGGTCACATGGACAGTACCCTGATGGGGCAGGGAATAAACTCCACCCACAGTGGGAGGTGCTACAAAGTCACATGGCAAGGATTGTGGATGTATAACCCTATTAGGGAATCTAAAAATCCAATCTACCACTTGTACCTTGGGTGCTAACTCTCTGAGCCTCTGTTTCCTCATCAGTGAGACATAAAAAGCTATGCTTTGCAGACTTAGAAATAACTTATGTGAATTTCCTAGTACCTGGTTAGTACTCAAAGGATGGCGGCTATTATTATTATTAGCTCCATTTAGAGATGAGAAAACTAAGGGTTTTAGGCAATGTGGGCCCAGGTTACTAGGGAAGGACCAAACAGGTCTTTGGAGATAACGTTGGAATGGCCCGGGCAGATGATTCTGTGACTTTGGCAGTGAGCAGCCAATGAGCTGAAGGAGATATGACCTTCAGCAGCCCTTACCGTCCTCTCCAACAGGCATCCTTCTGTGAATGTTGGATAGACCTTCTTAGCATTGTAAACACTGGGGGCGCCCATTACCGCAGTCCTGGCGGTGGTGGTATCTGTCTTCCCAACTAGACTGAACTCAGCCCCACACCCTGTCCATCTTTGCAGCCCTCCATGGCACCTGGTAGAAGGTTCAGCA